TGCCAGAATGTTGTGGAGAGGATGGTTGGTATTGTCCAAGATGGCCTCCATCTTACATTGCATGCGTCTCTCCACAACAGTCCTGAGTGAGTCCAGACTCCTGCCAAGCACAGACCCAGCCTTTTTTACCAGCTTGTCCAGTCTCTTTGTGTTCATGTCGGACAAACTGCAGCATAAAAGAGTACACTGGCCACCAGTGATGATAAAACATGTGCAACATTTTACTGCAGACGTCAAAGGACCTGAGCTTCCTGAGGAAAAAGAGTCGGCTCTGCCCCTTCAGGTAGATGGCATTCGTGTTCAGGGACCAGTCCAGTTTCCGGTCCAAGTGCACACCTAGCTATTTACACGTGCGCACCACCTCAATGCCCTTCCCTTGAATGTTGACTAGCTGAAGGGTGGGCCTAGACCTCCCAAAGTCCATGGCCATCTCCTTGGTCTTGGAGGTGTTCAGAAGGAGGCAGTTCTTGTCGCTCCATTCACTGAAGGCCATTGTCAGATCCCTGTACACCTCTTCCTGCCCGTTCCTGATATGTGCCACAATAGCTGTGTCATCGGAGTATTTGTGGATGTGGCAGGACTCAGAGTTGTATTTAAAGTCGGGCGTATACAGGGTGAACAGGAACAGAGCCAGAACAGTCCCCTGTGGAGCCCCAGTGCTGCTCATCACTGTCCCTGAGACACAGTTACCCAGTCTGATGTACATTGGTCGTCTTGTCAGGTAATCCACAATCCAGGACATGAAGTAGGGATCCACCCCCATCCCTTCCAGCTTGTCTTTAAGGATGGGGGGTTGGATGGTGTTAAATGCACTTGAGAAATCAAAGAACATAATCCTCATGTAACCACCTGGCTCATCCAAGTAAGAATGGACAGGTGGAGCATGTAAAGGACGGCATCATCCACTCCAATATGTTCTTTGTAGGTGGTGTAGGGGGTCTAGTGCATGTTCAACCTGTGGCCTCAGAAGGTGGAGAAGCAGCCGCTCCAGGGTCTTCATGATGTGAGGTCTGTAGTCATTTATCTCAGCCTGTCGTCCTACTTTAGGTACCGGAACAAGACAGGATGTTTTCCACGGGACTGGGACCCTCCCTGTTTGGAGGCTTAAGTTAAAGATCCTCTGGACAGGCTCAGCCAGCTGGGCTGCACAGTCCTTTAACAGCCTCGGACACACACCATCCGGGCCTGTTGCCTCTCCATGACGTAACCTCTTGAGCTCCGCCCTCACCTCCTCCACTCTAAAGGACAGGAGACTTGACCCAGTGTGGAGGGAGTTGCAGCTGCAGTGTCAGGTTGTGGAGGAGATGCTGTAGGAGAAGCTGCAGCTGAAGCAGTGGGAGAGAGAACAGGTGAGGCTGTGTCAAACCTGTTGTAGAACAGGTTGAACTCATTGGCCTTGTCCACATCACCTGATGTTGCCTGGCTGTTCTTCTCTTTATAGCCAGTGATGGTCCTCATCCCCTTCCACACCTCTCTGGTGTTGTTGTGCTGCAGCTTCCTCTCTACTTTCTTTTTGTAGTCCTCCTTCTCCTGCTTTAATCTCCTCTTCAGCTCATGTTGCACACACCTGAGCTTCTCCCTGTCTCCATCCCTGAAGGCCTCCTTTTTCTGGTTGAGGAGGGTCTTGATGTTACTGGTGATCCAGGGTTTGTTGTTTGGAAAGCAGTGTACAGACCTTGCTAGTATTACAGTGTCCATACAGAAGTTAATGTAGTCTGTGGTACATTCAACTGTTCTATCAAGGTCAGGGTCCTTGCTGTTATCATTTTCCTGTGACTCCAACAGGACATTCCAACCTGTGCACTCAAAACAGTCTTTTAGAGACTCTCTGGCCTCCGGGGTCCAGTTCCTGAATGAGCGGGTGGTTGCAGCCTGTCTCAGTACACAGGGCTGAAGAAAAACCAGATTATGATCTGATCTGCCAAGTGGTGGTAGAGCTGAAGCAGTGTAGGCCTCCTTGACATTTGCATACAACAGATCAAGTGTCTTATTTTCCCTTGTGGGACAGTCAACATACTGAGTGAAGCCAGTCAGGTGAGAGGTGAGAGTGACATGAGAGAGAACTCTCATGGTACATAGTAAGGTCTAAGACCAACTGCCAGCAGTTCAATATCCCGACAGCAGATCTTCTCCTTCACTGTGATGTGACCGGGGTTGCACCATCTATTGTTCACAAGCAGAACCAGTCCTCCACCTTTATTCTTCCCACTTGCTCTGGCGTCTCTGTCCGCTCATACTGCAGTGAAGTCGGGTAAATCCACACAACGGTCGAGAGTGTTGTCGCTTAACCAGGTCTCTGTGAAACACATGAGACTACACTCAAGATATGCTCGCTGGTTCTTCACAAGTGCCTCCAGTTCATCACACTTGTTAGCCAGGGAGTTGACATATCAAGATGCTGATTACACAACATTATTGCAGGTGTGCCTGAAGCTGGTCACAATAAAAGGCCACTTTAAATGTTTGTGGTCTGTGGTTGTGAGGCCAGTTGGATGTACTGCCAAGTTCTCAGAAACAAAAATCAGAGACACTTCATATCATTTGTTTACAGCAGTTCCCCAAGAGTTTTCAACTACATCCACAATTTCGCACATTGACTAGCTAAACCTTTAATCACGATAATGTTAAAATACATGATAATGTTAAAATACAATACTATATCTAAAAGCAAAGTTAAAAAATGCCCTTGTAGACAAATTATAGTATGAATGTGTCTTTCTTTCCTCTAGTTCTGTCTCCCTTATTTCTTCAGTTCTATTATGTAATAGCAAACTTTCTATGCGTGACACAACATCAAGACAGGAATTTAATCACAGACAGAACAACAAAGTTGTGCATAATGAATGAACAAACATTAAATGGGCTCATCGGTGGGTACCAGTTAATGTGGTCATAAATTCATTACAGCAGGCAGAACAGTGATGAGTCCCAGCTGAAAACAGAGCAGAAGACATTTCCAAAAATCAGGCTACAGTTGTTATTACATAACCATAGCTGGGCGTGGCCTGATCCACATTTCATTCACTCCCATAAACCCAACTTAGCTGCAACACTAAGTTTTGTTTGAGGGAATTCACACATCCAAACAAACATGAACCCTATGCAGAGCACAGACATGAACTCTGCTGTGGAGCGCTAGAAGTGGTTTCTGTAGGAAATAGAAGGAAGCAGCTTCAAAACAATACCAAGTGAAGAGCTATGTAAGTATTTTAAATCTGAAAGCCTGCTCATGAAACAAGTGAGAGATGTTAGTGAAGCCTGTGGTTTGATTGGTTTTATCTAAGTGAAATATTTGAAAGAGACATTTGAAGTGTCATTGTGTCAAACTGAAATACAAAACAAGCAAAATTTAGTGGACAGTTGACTTCTTTTTAGATGTGTACTACTTGCAACAGGTTTAATAGAAACATTTAGCACTTAGGCAGTGAGCATATATAGCAACATTTGTGTCGTGCATCAAAAAGTGAACAAGTGAAACTCAGAGAGGAAAGTCTGTGTAAAGCATTTGCCTTCAAACATCAGCTTCCCAGGAGAGAGGGTGGGTTTGTTTTTTACATAAGAACCAAGGCTGCAGTTGAAAAGTCTGAAGAAATCTGCTTTCCTAACCACTTGGGATCGATGGAGAATGTCATGAGGTCATTTTTAAAGGTCTGCAGCACAAGTCTATAGTATATCTGAAAACTGATAAGTTGCTTTGAAATGTGAGTTTTAAAGATGAAGAAATTTATATATGTACACCTAACTACCAGCAGAGAGTTTTGGGACAAACAAGAATTCTATATAGTGCTCAGACAAATGGAAAATCTGAGCATCCATGACGACTGGGCAAACTCCATATGCTGAAGAAGATTGTGTAATACATTAGAAAGCTCCAGAACGGCATCTAAATGGACCTTGAGGTGAGACAGTGTTGTCAAGAATGAACTTTGAAGGTCAAGCTGTTTATACTGTACGTTCCATGTGAGCAGCTCAAAGCCCGTCAGCAGCACTGTGGTTAAACTGTGCAGCACCCAGGTGTGAATGTGAGAGACTATGAATATAAGCAGGGCAGTAAGTCGAAATAAACACTCTGTCAGATTTCCCTG